TATTATCTGTTCAATTGGGAGATATTGTCTTACCAAATATAAAGGCATTATCAGCTATAAATAAATGTATAAATTAATTAAAATTATATCTATTAATAACAATTATAACCCTCTCGATAGTGTCCCCACTTTGATGTAATGAGAGGGCTTGCATTCCTAAACAATTCAAATTTCTACCAGTAGGGTCAACCCAAGCTGAACAGGTCAAAGGTGATAGGAGAAACAAAGAGGGATGCCCTAGTTCTCCAGGTTGGGGGTTTAACAATGGTCAGGTTTCCCATTGATAATAAAACTGATGAGCTGGGTATGAAAAGCAACAGGAGACTATCATGCTCTATTCGACTCCCTAGTCTAAATGAGTAGAAGCATAATGAGAATTGAGAATGGCATTAGTATTCAGATGAAGAAATCAGATGAAGGAAAGTGCCTGGCCTGATAGGAAGAGAAGAGGGGCTCATCAGATCGTCAGCCTGCAAAATCCCTTGAGCTTAATTTTAATCACAATACAAAGGAAGGTATTTTGATAGTGGGTACCTGGAATGTAAGATCATTGAGAAAAACCAGGTAAGCTGGAAAATCTAAACAGAAATAGAGATAAATAAACTGGATATAGCTGGATTGAATGAAGTGAGGTCGGAAGAATGTAAACAAATTATAAGTGATGATATTTGTATGATGCATTCAGGGTAGAGGTTGCTCATCATGGTGTATCAATAGCAACATACAAGAAAATAAGAAATAGTGTACGTAGAACTGACTACATAAATGACAGACTAATGATGGTGAGAATCAAACCAAGAACAAGGGATATTGTGATTATACAAGTCTACATGTCAACAAGTGCCCATAAAAGCTACTGCAAACTAGACAATGCCATCACTTTCAACATGACATCAAAGGTAATTTTTATGGTCATGTGACTGTTTTGCTTCGACAACTGGGAAAATTTGATTAAATTTTTGCTGTTTATTCAAAGTTTATCATCTTTGCAAGGTAGCTCTAATTTAGAAATAGTTGAACTTTGTAACTTGATATATAATAAAGGAGAATGGCCAAAACACTTCCTAAAAGTAATAATGATGTGTATAGGGAAAAAGAAAATACAGTAAGATATGAAGACTATAGAACAATCAGTCTGATTTATCACACTGATAAAATTATGCTGAGAGTACTAACAAAAAGGCTGTATGGTAAACTAGATTATTTTATAGAGGAAGAGCAATATGAATTCAGGAGAGGAACTAGCACAAGAGATGCTATAGGTGTCTTAAGATCTCTGGGTGAAAGATAAATTGAGAAAGGTAGAGGAATCTGTTTTATGGACCTTAAAAAAGCCCTTTGATAGAGTAATGTAGCCAAAATTGATGGAAAGATAAAGGAGTTGATTGGAAAGAGAGAAAGCTAATATGGAATCTATATAAGGGACAACAGGTGATAATGAGAGTGAAGGCAGGTGAAGAAGTTTCAATCATTAAAGGAGTTAAGACAGGGATGTGGCATCCTATTCAATATATATCTAGAAGAGATAATTAAGGAATCAACAGATCAAAACAAAAGTGTTAAGATTGGCAGAATAATTGTAAAGTGCATCCATTTTGCAGATGATATGGCTGTGATAGTAGAGGATGCAAGAACACTAAGAAAATCAACAAAAACTGTGAAAAAGCAATGTGAATAAAACAAATGTAATGTGGCTAGGGGAAGACAGAATAATATCATTACAGATAGAAAAACAAGAAGTAGAACAAGTAAAGAGATTCTAGTATCTAGGTTCCTGAATAAGTGAAGGAAGATAGAAAAGAGAATAGCAATGGCAAAGGAAGCATTCATTAGAAAGAGAAAACTGTTAAGTGGACCGTTAAGTATAGCATTAAGAAAGCAATTAATGAAGTGCTATGTTTGGAGTATACTACTTTATGGAGCAGAAATGCAAGCGATGAGAAAGGCAGAAAGAGATAGAGTGGAAGCATTTGAGATATGGACTTGGAGAAGGATGCAAAAGATTAGCTAGACAGATAAAGTCAGAAATGTAGTAGTTTTGAAACAAATTGGAGAAGAAATGAAAATATTAAAGGAAATCAGGAAAAGAAAAGGAAAATGGCTGGGGTGTGTTTGAGAAGAGACTGCCTGCTGAGAATAGTGCTGGAAGGTAAGGTAAATGCAATAAAGAGGAAGAAGAAGAATAAAACTGATAGATGACCTGAAAGATTGACAAAGTTATACAATTCTCAAAGCTAGAGCTAATGTTAGAGAGAGATGGAGAAAGGTATTTCAGTGCTCTGATGCTCCTGCTCTTAAGCAGAAAACTTAAGAAGAACAATTATAAATTGGCTTGTTTCTTTGCTCTGCTTATAAATCATTTCAATCCCTAGCAACAATCTCTCTTTTTTTAAAAAATTTATAAAGGATTTTACATAAATTTACATAAATCAGGAACAAACATGTGCATTTAACATGTTATGTGGCAATTTTACATGGTAAAAAAACAAAAAGAGAGCCATATTATCTTGTAAAAAAATATACTGAAAAGACATTTAAAATATGCATTTAAAAATAAGCTATTCAGATAGAAAACTGCTTAAACAAAATCTGGTAATATATGGTTTAATGTTTAACCAATAAGTTTTGACTGAATAATTTCAATACAATTAAATTCTTAAATGCAAAATTTTCTTAAATTATTATTTCTACATGTCCCATAATAAATTTGCAAATATTTTGTTACGCCATACAACTTTACACAACATACTGTATGCCATTTAACATAGAAGATGAAAACTATATGAGCTAAGTAGATAATTTTGCTATTACTGTATTGTTGCACATACTAATATTTATATAATATAATTATTATTGTAATTTTCAAATGATTATAATTTAAATTTTGAAACATTATCTTAAAGAAGCATTCATTCTTGAAATTAAATATTTACATATTAACTAGTTATAATTTGTAGAATGAAATTTCAAACAAATTTATCTTCAATGAAAAAAAATCTCATTTACAACATTATTTATCAAATGTTTTATAACCTGTTCAATTTTCCTGAGAAAGTAAGGTTGCTTCCTATGAAAATAAACTGCTGAATGATACAAATGGATCCAATTATCCAAGCAGTTACCAACCCTCAATATACATAAACTGAGTAAATCACAGTTAAAGTTTTTCATTTTCAAAAAATATTTTCATAAAAATATTCAAGAAAATCTCTTTTTTTTTTCTATACAGTAATTTTGAATAATGTCTTCAATATGAAATGATATTAATTTTTATTTTTTGAAAGAAATTGTATAAATTTTGGGGTGGTAGGATCCTGCCTTTTGAGAAAGCAATCCAAAAAAGTGTCTCCAACTAAATTGTCAGAAATATTTCAAATATTTGGGTCTTAGCACAAATCTGCAATCATCATATAGATGTCATAACATTCCTGCAGGTGTATTTTCTAACTAGCCCAACTGGGTGAGAAATCCACCAACCGGGCAACCCTAGCATGCAGCACAAAGCACTATTGTTGAGACTTTCCTTTCAGCTAAACAAGATTACATTGTACTTTGATTACTAAATTATATATTTTTTTTAATGCTGCCACCCACAACGTATCTCAAGTGAACTGCATATAAACAATGTATAATCAACCAAATGGGTTGAACGATTTCTGTAAAATATCGAAATGTTTATAACAAGACTGCGGGTTAGTTGCCGAGCTTGTTAAATACATTAATAGTAGCCTTGCAATTTAGTTGTTTCTGCAAATGGAGATTGCATAATACTGAATTTATATGTGACTTCAATCCATATTTTTTGCACATTTGAATGTCAGTGGCTTTTTGCATAACTGGATCCCCAAGTTCACATCTTAGCAGATTCAAGTTTTTTTTAAGGCCTAAATTTTGTACAGGAATCAACATAGTTCCTTCCGGCGCTAGAATCTAGAGTGATCACATGAGTAATAGGTAAACTTAGATTATCATGTCAGCTATTTCACATACCTTTCCTTTTATTGTCTTAAAACTTTAAATCATATTTTTGTTTGTATACATTATCATAACATTCCTTTATTTTTATTTACTGTTTTCTTGAACGACAAATCTAGCAAATCATTACAGTAGGGATTATTTATCTAGTATCGAGTACGTCAAGTAGTTTTACCACTCCACAACAGGAAGCCAGCACAGACAAAGAACATAAAACAACATTCCAATCTATACCATCGACAAAAAATTACAATATACAGATCCGATTCAAACTAGGCCACCTCACTTTAGGCCGACGATTTATCCGACATCTATCTGGACAACAACTTGGTGGCATCATAACTTCACAACCCCACGTACAGCCTCAACTTCGGATCACTTTTCTTCGGGGGAATCATTTAGGAAATCCCATTCATTTTCAAAGCGACCTCCGGAAGGTCGAGTTCTGCACCACGCAACTTCGGCAATCTAGGGTACTGGATACAAGTCAAATTTAAATTTCCACACTCTTACCACATTAAAGAACTTATAAGAGATTGATCGGTTTGTGGACCCGGTAAGTTATCTTTTAGCCCAGAGGACGTGCTGCGACAACTATTTATTTTTCTGAAAATAATGTTTCATTAAATATTTTCAAATCAAGATAATACAGTTTAATGCCAGAATAACTGTATATTATATGGGTTTGAATGTATTACCTTAACTTAATGTAAATATATTTTGAAATGTGTACATTTTCTTTTCACTCTATCTCAATAGAGAGATATTTTCAAATGTATTTTTGTAGCTCACAATTTGTATTATTTCATTTCATGATACTGGAAACATTTCTGAACTCGAAGTATGATAAGACTTCAGAGATAACGTGTTTTTTTTATCAAATATAGATAATTTTACCTGTTTAATAGAATATAAATTGAATTTTAACGTTCAGACGCCTTTTCTATCCTTCTTCAACTATTAAATATTATAATTACGTTCTTTTAAATGGAGTAAATGAAAATTTAACGTGTAATTTGACGTACAAACCAGACGATCTGTTGTTGTTTATGTCGATCCGCTCGCCACCTGGTGGTGAAAGATATTTTACTATCCTGAAAAAAATAAAAAATATTTTTTTCTAATTTTTACAAATTGTGAATGTTATTAATAAATTAATTTTTGTTTTTATTATCTCTTTATTTTTTTTAATTCTACGCCCTATGGGTAATAGAAAGGCCGCCCATTGTGAGTTTGACCAGACCCACGATAAGCGGTCGAGTTATTTTTTTTTACTCTTTCCGCTCTGTGGGCACTAAGAGAGCCTCTTATAGCAGGCTCATTATGGGTTCGGCCAGACCCACAATGGGGCGACCGGGTAGTGAGGGACGGGGCCCGACATATCCGAACGGGGCCCGACATATCCGAACGGACCCCCCTCCCCCGAAAGATTCCTGGAGATTCCTTGACCCGTCCGGATTCGATCTCGGGTCCCCCAGAGCGGTAGGCTGCCACCTTGACCGTTCGGTCATCCGGCCGTCAATGAGCAGTTGAGTGGCGAGGGACGGGGCCTCCGAAACATTCCTAGGGTTTTTCGAACCGTCCGGATTCGATATGGGGTTCCCCAGAACAAGAGACTGACGCCTTTCCCGTCTCGGCCATCCCGTGAACATTAAAGGCGCGTTGCCTGGTAAAACTATTTTAATACAACTGGAAAAGCAAAATAATGGCATAGCCCGTTTCAAATAAAATAGTTATGCCGTTGGTTTGCTTATCCGGCTGTATTAAAGCCAATTTAGCAGGCAACACGCTCTAAGAACGCTTTCTAAATGCCCATCTTGATTTCGAGGCTCACAACGTGGAAAGTTGAGCGATGAGAGAAAACAGTTCCGACATATTTGGCTCGTCCAACCATGAAAATTTCTGAATATTCACAGAGTGGAATCCAAATGCTATGATTCCGTAATAAAGGAATCAAAAATTATTTTTACGGAATGCGTGTATGCAGTGTCGAGGTAGATTTTTACGAGATCGGAGCCTGCAGTGTACTAAAAAAAAATAATTATTTTCAATGCAGCACTGGCCTTTATACCCATCTACAGACATTCATATGTAATTGTTACCGCGACGAATTTCTATAAAATGAGGCTTGCAAATGCATTCTAGGAGTGGTATTCTTAAGATATTACTTCAAGCTAAAGTCAAGCGAAATGGCAACAGTTGACCAGGATAAAATAGTATAAATTTGAGACTGCAAAATAATTGCTTGTTTCTAGGTCAATAGTGCTGCAAAGTATCTTTCGTATATTAAGTACTATATAATAGGTATACATAAACTAGATCCACTTAGTGAAGATTGTTGAAAAGACTTGCAGAGATTTTAGCTTCACACGAGACAGACTATTTTCTTCTTAGACACACAGATGGCCTGTAGGCATTAACATACAGACTGGATAGAAATCCGAAAAGCACCTGGACACAAATGTAATGCTTGATGACGAATTAGATCCTTTAGTTTCAATGTAGATTAATGCACAGAGCCATAAAAAACAACACACATTGCTAAATAGGATCACTTAAGGTTAATTACGTAACAAACCATTCAGTTGTACACAAACCATTCAAACCAAGTATAAATCATAAAGAGAAACAAAGAAAAATGTATTTGCTTCCGAAAACAATTGGTCTATATCAGGGGTGTCCAACCCGCGGCCCAAGGCAAGTTCCAATGCGGCCCAATAAACGTGTAAACAAAACCGACAAATGTTTTAATTTTTTTATTATTTATTTATTTCAACGGCATAAACTCAAGAAAAGTTTCACAAAGCCATAAACCTTTATTCATATTTTATTTTTGAGTGGAAAGAAAATATTTTCAAATGCTTTGAGATGTGTGAATGCGGAATGATTACTAAATAAAGCTGGAGTTGTGACTCAAAGGATTATAGACCCAAATTTGGGAAAAGCAAGGAAAGATGAGAAAGGACAAAAGATGTAGTAGTGAGAAACGTTAAATAGATTAAACAAATAGAGAGTCCCTAGGAAACCGTAATTTTTCAACCTTTTTCACTTCTTTATCTTTTGTCTTTTGTCTCTTTTTCCCCGCACTTGGGTCTATAATCCTTTGATTCACAGCTCCAGCTTTATTTAGTATTTCTT